CCCAAATTGCTTTGATGTAAAATAAATTCTAAAAGTACAAATAAAGCGATATTAAGACCGTTCTGTTATAGAACATAGCTCAGCCCTCCTGCTCTCCTCATTCTCAGACGCTGTCATTTGTGCATTACCAGTAGAGGTGCTGAAAAAAATTGATTCAAGTCTAAATTGGGATTCTTATTTACAAGAATGAGGTTCTTATAGATGTAAAATAGAACATGGAATGGGATTTGTGCGGTTTATCTGGGATCCCAAATCCCAGCATCGCTCTAGAGGAGCTCTGACAAACCCTGCATAATAATATAGGAATGTTCTTTTATATTTATAAGGACAAAAATATAATATCATTAAAAATAATATTAACTAATTAATAAGATTAAAAACATAATAGAATTGGAAAGAGAAAAAATAGTGATTACAAAAACATGACAACCGTTCTACAAAGTTAGATTCCTTTCTGGTTTTAGCTCCAGTCATGTGACTCGGCTGTTTTTCTACCATATTTATGTAATGGGTGAAATAATTAGTGGATGAGGAACAGCAACTGAGACCTTCAGTGTTCCCCATTCTACCACTAGATGCTGTTCCTACACATGATCTGAGTACGGTTGATAAATGAGGCCACTGCACTTTTATGCTGATGACAGTTATTTATAGTTGCAGAAACACTGAGACATTGATTCTGTACAGTAATCATAACTTCAGCTTAAACTTGTTCTCAGTGCAGATAAAACTAAGCTCATGTTGTTTAAGGAGGCGAGTCCAAATGATTCTGTCAGCTATCACTCGAGTGTGAAGACATAATGATGGTTCACACGTATAAATATCTGGGTGTCGTGATTAATGATTTGCCCACTTTCAAACCTCGTGTAGAGAATTTTGTTAAGAAGCTGAAGTTAACTCTTTAGAACGTTCATTCTGTGTTTATCTTCTCAAAATGTTTCGCCCACGGATAAACGGAAGTGACTCCACCAACACCAGCGAACTCTGATGATGACAAGAGGCTTTAGAAACATGTCAGGTAAAAACTTTTTACTAAACTGTGTAAAAAAAATAATAAAGAAATGGATTAAGCTGAAGTTCAAATAATGTTTTTTATTTCCAGAATAAATTATGTGAGATACTGCTGTTGTGCTCTTGGGCAAGACACCTAACCCGCCATGTCTGCTGGTGGTTGTCGAGGGACCGGCGGCGCCTGTGCTCGTAAAGCCTTGCATCTGTCAGTGTGACCGAGGGCAGCTGTCATCATCATCGACGTATGAAGAATACACTGCAATGTAAAGCACTTTGGAGTCCTCTGCCTCTGAAAGGTGCTGAACAAGTTCGGGTCATTTACCATCATCATTCAGCTCTGAAGTTCATTACTAACCCTAGATTTGTGACTGAATTATAATCTCAGGTTTGACCAGCAGGATGAAGACTCCTTTATACAGATTAATATACAAAGCAATACTGAGACTACTGCTGGTCACTGTTCTCTTCATCTGTAAGACTAAATCAGTGTGTTTACATGCAGCCAGTAACCCTTTTAAAACCTGAATATTCACAATAACCCGGTTCCGCACGGCCATGTAAAGACCGCCAAAACCCCGGATATGCTCCTAACCGGGTTTTTAAAAACCCGGTTACTACACCTGGGGTAACCCTTTTCTAACCCGAATGTTTGGTCGTGTAAACGCATACCAGGATATCCCCATCAAAGCGTGTGTTCTGCGCATGCTCTGTTCGCAAGGAATCTTGGTCTTTTGAGTAGCGAGACGTCTTGTATGCTCCAGAACACCGGAAGTAAACAACAAGTTGGGAGCAACATGGGGAGTCGCGGCACAGCACCACACTTTTGGAGTGACGAGGAAACTAAAGCGCAAACAAACGTGGTCGCTATCTCTTCCGAACTGGGAAACATGTTGTTGTTTTCACGGATACCGGAACAAGAAGAACCAGAAATGATGCATATTGTGTCTGGACGTAGTCCATACGTCCTGACGCTACCCCAACGTCCACATTTAAATCAGGTTATGCAAGTTAGGGGTAACTCCTTCTATTTATGCTTGTAAACGGGTTATTCTGATCAACTCAGAAACCTGAATACCGACCTTAACCCGATCATAACCCGGATATTGGCTGCTTGTAAACGTAGTGAATGATGCACACACTGAGGTTGACAAAAGAGCTTATGTCCATTTAGCACCCTTGGCTTAGAACGAACTGCAGAATGACAGGAAAACAACAATTTGTGTTTTTAAATCTAACCTAAGAAACCTTGAGGCCAACTCTGTGACATCTAACTGTTTAATTAAGTTTGCTTCCCATTTTTAACTGAACTTTAACTATTTTATTGCTATTTTTTGTCTTGTTGATTCCTGTGCTTTTTAATCATGAAGGTTTTTGTAGCTTCATGTGATGCTTCCTGCTGCCAATCTCCATCAGGTTTCCTTTGAAAAGAGATGTGTAATCTCTGGGTTCTTTCTTCCTGGTTAAATGGAGACTAGGCAGCTTTGGCTTGCTTTAAGCACCTCCTAGTGTCTGCTTGTAGAACCAAAACCAAAACCTATCTCTTGGCTGTGCACTTGTCTTTTTAATGCCTTAATCTAACAGCTGAAATGTCTCCCAGCCGTCCTTGGAGTCTAGAGGAGTTAGGCATCACTAAATAAAGCAAATAAGATGTGTTCATGATCTAAAACACGCAAGCAACATGCTGGAACCAGACTGCAGTGCCAGTAATGTCAGCTCACTTTTTCTAAGTCCCAGCCATGGACGTCACTAGGATTGAGATAGGGGGGGGGGGGGGGGGGGGGGGCTTAGCCCCAGGAGCTTGACCTTGAACATTTTTTGTCACACCCTGCAAAAACTTTGTCAATTAATTCATTATCTGAAGAACATTTAATAAAACCTATTATTTTATCACTTTCTTTTCCTTTCCTACCTTTGTGAATTTTCTCTCTTCTTTTTATAAAAAATAACACTTAATCAGTTAATTAGTGGGGTCTATGTTGAAGAAAGATTTTATATAAGTCCATTAAAAATTAGATATGTTATATTTCAAAATAAAGCTATTCATTTCAGTCTACTGCACTTAACAGGGGGAAATGTTGCAGTCATTTGTTTAACTTGTTTAATTACAACTTGCTTAATTATAAATGTTACTGAAATATGACAAAGAACAAACGAATAATTGTCAAACTTTTATTCTGCCAAATGAGTGTGCAGTTGACAGTTTTAATATATTAATAACACTGCTATGATGTGGAATAAAGGAGTATATAATTAACAATTACAAGACAAAATAACAGTATATATAAAAATTAGGGCTGGGACTTGATTAAAATTTTTAATCTAATTACTTAGAGGCTTTGTAATTAATTAATCTCAATCGCATTTTAATCGTTCAGGAAAATGTGCTCTCAAAGCAAAACTTAATTAAAATTATGAGACAGAGAATTAAACATTAGACATAGTTATTACTGTAAAACTAAAGCTTTTAATAAAAAAATGCATTTTAATTAATCAAATGTCACTGTGTGATATGAAACAAGACCCAAATCAACTAAAATGTATAAATACAAATAGAAAACACCTGCAAAGGGTTCCTGAGCCTTTAAATAGTCTCTCTGTCTAGTTGAATGACTGAAATAAATTTGACTTTGCACCAGATTCTAATTTTTCCAGTTTTACTTGTTTGTACAATTGGGAGTTTTTATTAGCATTTCTACTCATAATGTAGTAAAAACACACATAAATAATAATCCTTCAAAATGACAGTAGAACAGGCACAAATATAATCTAGGACTTAAATGTGCTAGCTTTTAACACCAGAGCAGGCTTGGCATATTCTGAGAATGATCAGGAACACTAACTGGTTCCAGTTGGATGACTGGAGGATGATGGGATGATAAAAGATCATGGCGAGGAAATAATGATCTGACGAACAGGTGAGCGGACCTTCCTTACATGGGAAGTCCTGATGTTACGTTAAGAAGGGGGTGCTGCAGACTCGCAGGTTCACGCCTGCTGCAGCGAATATGGTGTGATCTCCAGCCTGATCACAACTTCCTCGTTTCTCGCTGCCCCTGATGCACTTAAGCATCCGCCCCTTAGCTGATGACAGCTTCAACACACCTCGCTGCTTAATGATGCATGCGATGATGTTTAGACAGAGACTCGTCTCAGAAACGTATAACTCCCCGACAGAATTGTTTAGAAAATCATCAGAAAAGTTTCAGAGTGTTTCTGTTTTAACTTAAACTTCTGTTTTCAACTTTAAGACACGTTGTTTGTGATTGTTTACAGAGTAGTGAGAACACGGAGCGTTCTCCCAGCGGCAGCCAGGTGCCTCTCGTTTGTCTTACTTTCATAAACTACTGTTAGGACACAGAATTATTCTGTCTGGTGCTTTCAGCGCTGCACAGATGTTACGTAAATGTTAAAAATATAGCTTACCGCAACTTTTGTAAAGTTCTCGTTGCCACCGGGCAGCTGCAGCAGAGACGATCTCTGAAAAATGTCCGCGACCCGGACTCCGTTGTCTGGAAGTTTGTTTTTTTCCAAGTTAAGAAAAAAGGCGGACGGGATTCCTAAATCCTGCATCAGTCCAAGCAAGGCAACTTCTTTCCGTTTTTATTCCGTTAGTAGTCATTAGCACTGTGCATTGTTGTGTGCGTCAGTGATATTCTGTCTACGAGGAAGTCGTGCAATGACAAAGGTTCCGCTGTGCTCGAAATGCAAGCTGCGATTAAATGCGTGAAATTTTTTTGATGTGTCTTTTTTTCTAATTAATCATAATAACGTGTTAAAGTCCCAGCCCTAAAAAAACTCAAAATGATAGGGGGGCTTGTGATTATTTTAGGGGGGCTGAAGCCCCCCTAAAACGGACCTAACGACGTCAGCGGTCGCAGCGGACCCGACCACCAACTGTGATGTTGCAAGTGCAATGTTCTGGCCACAGGGGGCGATAGGGGCTGGATGGTCTTTCATTAACGAAGATAATTTAAAAAAAATGAAAAATTAGCTAAAATCTCTTTATATAATGGGTTAAATAAAATATAAAGTTCTGACCATCATGGACTGTAGATCTTTGTCTGGCAAACTGGTGATTCGAATCTCTGGAGTCTTGGCTCCTTCTGCTGGCGATGCCCAGTTTCTCTTCTTTATCATCTTCACTGGAGCCCAGCTTTGACTCTCCATCCACATTAACTATACATTTTTTTTCAACCAGAAAGTATTGATCAGTCACAGGTAATGACATTTTACTGGTTTCACAAGATTTACACTAAAAACCAGGCGTTACCTGGGTATTTTAGCTGAAAGGAGTCATGGATGTGCAACGGGTTTCTGAGCTCTATTTTTTTGGAGTTAGGTCTTCGGACTGGAGCTTGGAGCCGGAGGCGGGCCATGTCGAACACATCCACCTCTGGTAATCTAGAGCAATTCAATTTCAATTCAAATCAGTTTATTTCTAAAGCGCCAAATCAGGACCAGAGTCGTCTCAAGGACCTTCACACAGTAAACATTCCAGTACAGGTCAGGTCATTAAGCCAATCAGTAACAAGTTTTCTATATAAGGAACCCAGCAGGTTGCATCGAGTCACTGACTAGTGTCGGAGTCTTTACAGCAATCCTCATACTAAGCAAGCATGCAGTGACAGTGGAGATGAAAACTCCCTTTTAACAGGAAGAAACCTCCAGAGGATCCTGGCTCAGTATTAGCAGCCATCCTCCATGACTCACTGGGGATGGAGAAGACAGACAGACAGACAGACAGACAGACAGACACACAGACAGACACACAGACAGACACACACACACACACACACACACACACACACACACACACACACACACACACACACACACACACACACACACACACCAAGTAGTGTTTCTATGGTTACATTGCGATTTCTTAGAAAATATTCTATTTGGTAACAGATAAACTTTATTGTATTCATCCAAGTGAATCCATAATTAAACGGGTAAACTAGTAGTAGCACATTCAATGTCAAAAGAGTAAAACGTTATTTCAGAAGTGGGAGAATGTTTAAGTGGTTAGCTTCCCTCCATGAGGCCACCACAGCTCAGCAGAACATCATTGTAGCTTCTTCTGGGGAGAAAAACACTTATAGAAAAAATAAAGTTAACAGCTGAAGTAGCAGGAAATAATACAGTTAAAGAGTAGATTGTAGAAGAAAGTAGTAGTGTGTGAAAAGTGGTCAGTGTATCCTCCAGCAGTCTAAGCCTATAGCAGCATAACTACAGAAATAACTCTGGATAACCTAGCCTTATAGATGGAGGCATGTTGGAGGCAGGGCAAGGAAAAGTCGTCTTTACCGACTGTACACTCCACCTCCCTGTACTCCCCTTCTTGTCCAGATCCAGGCTAACATCAGATTTTAACCATAGGCCCTATCAAATAAAAACGTTTTAAGCCTAGTCTTAAAAGTAGACAAAGTGTCTGCCTCACAGACTAAAGGTGGGAGTTGGTTCTACAAGAGAGGAGCCTGATAGCTAAAAGATCTGCCTCCCGTCCTATTTTTAGATATTCTGGGAACCACCAGTAAACCTGCAGTCTGAGAGCGAGGTGCTCGGTTAGGAACGTATGGAACAATCAGAACACTGATGTATGATGAGCTTGATTATTAAGAGCTTTATATGTGAGAAGGAGGATATCTTAAAATCTATTCTGAATTTAACAGGTAGCCAATGTAGGGAAGCTAGGACAGGAGAGATATGATCTCTTTTTAATTCATATCAGAACTCTAGCTGCAGCATTTTGGACAAGCTGAAGACTTTAATCTACATTCTGTGGACTTCCTGAGAGGAATGAATTACAGTAATCCAGTCTTGATGTAATAAATGCATGAACTAGTTTTTCAGCATCACTCCTGGAAAGCATAAAGTTAAAGTCCCATTAATACATCACACACTGGTGAAATTCATCCCCGCATTTGACCCATCCCCACGGGGTACGGTGAGCTGCAGCAGTGGCCACGATCGAGAACTATTTGTTGGTTTACAGCTTATAAACTTGACTCTTCCATATTCCAGTTAGAATTGACAAAGCTCCTCAGATGAGAAGCGAAATGTTTTCAAGAAACCAAAGAAGTCCAGCTGCCTTCATTCAAACTGCTTTGGAATACCATGACCTGGATGACTGAGAACCTTCACCAGCAGACAAAAAAATAGCAGAACTGCAATATCACGAAAAACAACATACCGTAAATCCTCTAATACAGGCCCGGGCCAGTATTTGACTCAAGCTCATCAAGCTCCAGGCCTTTATTGGAAGGAGGACCAGAATTAGAGGCAGGCCTCTATTTCTATTTGAGCAAAATGAACTAATGGTTCGCTGGAGTTTTTGACAATTAAAATTGCGCCCACATTTTCAAAGTTAAACACATTTCTTTTAACAACGGTAGTTTCTGCTTCAGACATCTCCCCCCTAACCCTGCGCAGCGGCCGCAAAGTGTCACACCCTGTCTTGTCTCCCAGTTCTGTTTAGTCATGTGTCTCTGTTAATTGCTCCCACCTGCCTCTCGTTTCCAATCACCCAAACTCCCAGCCCTCTTGTATTTAAACCCCTTCAGTTCTGTGTCTATTGTCGGTTCATTGTTTCATTGTCCAGCTTGTGCTTCATTAAAGACTTTACCTCGTCCTGGTTTGTCTGCCTGCCTGATTCCTCCCCAGCGTGTGGATCCGCACCTCCGCTCCGCTCACCGGCACACGCTGACACACTGATGCGCCTGCAGCCTCTCAGAGTTCCTGCTGCTCTAAACACTAAAATAATTATTTCATTTTCTGTTACTCACTTCTGATTTTCTTCAATGGTGTCCGTTTGTTGCAACCACCAGGTACAAAAACTAACTTGTTTTTATTTGACTATTTTTCTGTCTTGCCTGTTTATTATCTTCCTACATCTCCTCTCAATCCTAAAGAAAAACTGCTACCTGGGTTCAGATATATTCACCTTATGAGTTACCTTTGAACTGCAGTTCTAAAAGATCTACCGACCGCAAAAACAGCGGAGTGCTCGCTGCTTGGCGGCCGCAGAGATCGGTGCGTCACCGGAGGACAAGGTGATGCGCCCCGCTCCACAGCAGCGAAGCGCATCAGGCGCAAATAGAAGACAGAAAACATTAAAGGAAATAAGCCGACATGAACGATCGCGTGTTAAATTAGTTTTTGAGGTGGCAGCACCTGATTTGATAATGTTACTGTGGCCGTGCTCAGGACGCAGATGTCTGGAGTGCGTCAACAATCAGATCTTTGCATGCGCAAGCTGGTTAAGGTTAGGATGGGGGTGAGGAGAATGTTAAATTGCAAGAGGGTAAACGTCACAATTTGATTAAATGTCCGTTTTACGGCGGGTGTCAGTACCGACGCTCTGGCACAGCACGTTGCCTCCCGACGCGCAGGAGCTTGTCACCTGCTGACAGCAGGCTGCTGTCTTTTCCGAGGGCTGCATCTTGCCGGTCATTATCACGTGACAGCGACTAGTCGATGACACGCATAAAAGTCACTATAGTGAAGTCGACTAGTTCATACAACCCCTACTGCTCCCCAGTGTTCTGCAGCTTAATCAGCATGTTCTCTTTGAACTTGATATCAAATTTTCGCCTCCTCTTCGTCTCCGCACGGTTAAAGTTACCATCGCGGTCTATCACTGGCAAATCAAAAGTGAGACGGATGACACAACCGCCCCCCCTGTGGTAATTGCTTGTTACCACATTCCACCCAGCCACAATAAAATACCGGCCATTATTCACCTCCCCCGACTCAGACACCGGCCAAAATATGATACCCGGCCGTTAATTGAATACAGGCCGATATTAGAGGATTTACGGTATGTATTTTTAACAATAACAATGATACTCAACTCTAGATATCCAGTGTGACTCACAATATCATTAAACATAGCATATCTTGCAGCTGTTGGCGTCTCTTGAGGACCTCATTCCCTCTTTAGGCATTGTTAACCACAACGGCGCCGCCAGTCTGACCAGTCGATCCAGTACCTCAGAGGTCAGTGGCATCCACAGTGTCTGCATTCTCTGCAGCAGGACCACTCCACCCTGTGGTGGGAAAACCACCTACCCTAGGGGGAGTTGGCGTTTGCAGCGACACACCACCTGAGACTCCGCACCCTGCAGTGGGTTCACCACCTGCCAAAGGGGGGATTGATGGTGGCGCTGAGACTCCGGCTGAAGCCCAGCACCTTGCGTTGGGGACTCCACCTGCCGAAGGACGGGCTGATGACATCAGTGACCCTACTGCACTACGGCTGGCGCTGGTGACCTCTAGCCCCGAGGTTGGTGACTCCCTACCAAAGGGGAGGTTGAATGGCGCCCTATACCACTACTGGCTGACCCTGATCTCTCTGACTGCACCGGCGCGTCGACCGAGGGCCCTCCAGAGCGCTCACCTGCACGGAACCCTCGCAAGGCTGCACCAGTCTACAATCTAAGACGTTCTTGGTTTCCATTTTCAGCTCTGACAAAATATGTTTTGTTAGTCGCGTGCATCGGTCTGATATCGACCGCAGCTGAGATTAATTCTCAGCCTCCTCTAATGCGTCTGTACAAACCTGGGCCCTCTTCGGGTATCACACTCCGAGACCGCCCAGCTGGACTGCAGAGATAATAAATGATAAACAATAAACATTTTCTCCTCCAAGGTCCATCACAGAGGAACTCTTTTAAAATAAACTCCGTTATTCCAAGAAGAAGAAGAAAAGAAGATTTTATAATTAAAAATAATCATTGAATGAACTTTTGTTATAGCTGATTATAAATAATGAAATGTTTCATTAATCTGTGCTCAATGATTGTTTTAGTATGTTTACTTGACGAGGTCCTAACATTTGCACTCACAAGTAAAGTTAACGCATGCCACATAAGTTAACCTTTTGCCTGGATTCTGATTCTCCATCACAGAGGGTGTGTCTCTGCAATGCTTGGTAACATCCTGAAAACGTGCCAGCTTCTGGTTGGCTATTCAAGATAACATCAGTCTGTTAAAACTAGTTTTACTCTGGTTTTTCCCTGAGTTTAACTTCAGACAAAACAGTTCGAACAGCTCAACAGTTCGAGGGTTCTAGAAAAGCTTTAGACTGGCCATCTTTTGCATAACCTCTGGAACTACAAGGATTTTGACACATTGTCAAAACCTTAAATCTTTTTCGCACCTGCGAAGCTGAAACAGCAAGATAGTTTCCTGCAGAACAAAGCTGATTCCAAACTCCTTCAGAGTTATTTTTAAGATGCTCGGTTTCATCCAACTGTCGTGACCCGAGAGACATCTTCGGACTGAAAGAACCGGCACCTCGGCCCTCTACAGCCCTCCGGTGCCAGTGGTCATCTGACCTCTCACTTTCCGATCCACCAAGAGGTTCTCTTGATCCGGGTAAAGTAGACACACAGATAGCATCTGAATGTGGTTCTGATAACATCTTTATAGCTTATTTGCAAACCAAATTCTTTCCATCCAGAACTCATCTCAGAGAACGGAGATTCTGAATATAATATTCACACATAGGTTCCAGACACCCATCTTGTAGTTCGCATCCACTCACAGTAAATAATAGTTTAAACCATTTGTCAAGTCTTAAGTGTTTGTAAAATAAATTCTAACTTTGCTTGTAAACCTGAATGTTTCTTGAATCAAAGCGAAGTGTGTACGATCCCTTAATGAATAAAAGAATCTTAGAATCTTCTGACTAAAACAATAAGACCAAGCAGGGAATATACTATTTATATGGAGTATCACAGCTATTGGTCACAAGTAGTGGTAATAATATAAATAGCTTTTCAAGCAATTTACTTAACCCAATTTACCCTCTATTATCATTACACATAGCTATAAACGTATAAATATATAATAAAAAAATAATGAAGTGGTTACACATTTGTCTAACAACATCCGTAAATAGTTGCTTGTGCACCAAAGGCAATTATTGGAAAATCTGGTTGTCGGTCTGGTCGAACTGCAAAATTTCCGCACTTCCCTGGGTCCTCCACTCATCACACACACGTATTCAGCAACAGAACACTACTGGTGTGAGGTTCTCCGCTCAATCACATCAGGGAAGGAGAAACAGCCGGCTGCTCCCACTTCGGCTTTAGGACAAACTACCAGAGTCCAAAAAGAAAATCACCATTTGAAGCCACGGACAACAACAGAAGCTTGGATGTAGAAAAGGGCAAATGGTGTTTAGCACAATCTTGTTTCCTCTGACATCACAGGTCTCCGGTTCCGGCAGAAGCATCTCAGATTCCTGACGGAAGAGGTGAGCATTCCGTGATCGTGTTTGCGTTCAAAACAGCAGCTTTAAATTAGGCTCTACTGAATTCAATGCTTTTATTACTTCAAGACCCAGTGACTAAGCTGAGATTAGGTTACACACTCAGAGATCAGAGCAGTCACACCCTCTGCTACTCTCTTCTACCACTACTCCCTTTATTTCAGCTGTTAACTAACTTGTCTTTTATTGGTCGGATGACATATGCTAATTTTTTGAGATAGGAATTTTGGGTTTTCATGAGCTGTATGCCAAAATCATCAATATTAGAAACAATAAAAGGCTTGAACTACTTCAGTTGTGTGTAATGAATCTAATAATTTTGAAAGTTTGGGTTTATCAGTACATTACAGAAAATAATTAACTTTATCACAATATGCTAATTTTTTGAGAAGGACCTGTTTTACTCTATGCCTGCAAGCCTTCTCACTCATTCCCACACACACACACACACATTCCTGTATCCTATATCTCATGATAAAAATAAACTGGAAGAGCAGATGCTCAGTTGTAAGCTTCAAGCTTTTGACTGAGCATCTGCCCTGATTTACAAACAGTAAAACGTCTGGTTAACTCATTCACTGCCATTGACGACTAAAGTCATCATTTTAAATCCAATATTTTTTTACTGTTTGGGCATCGGAATGAGCCCCCGCGCTGAGAGAACAAACATCTCAGCTCTGAAGCCGATCTTCATCCGCATACGTCACACGTCACATGATCAGGAAGCACAAAATCAATGTGTTAGGAGATTGTTTTGGGCCGCTGCTGTAAAAAAAAGTGAGGCGCAAACCGGAAAAGCTTCTGCCGATCACAATTCGACAACGGATTATGGAAGAATGGATAATGCTCGAAACACGCAAATTCTTCCTGATGTCAGAGGTGAGTCTCCGCTTTGTTTTGGCGTCGACATCATCCTAGCGCACAACGTTCTGTGACTCTTAAAAAAACAGTAAGAACAGCGAGAAACGCTGGCAGCGAAGGGGTTTAGCAATCAGGAAATGGCTGGCAGTGAATGAGTTAATTGTCTCTCTCTTTTCTCTTTGACTGCAAGTATTAGATGATTGATAAAATCCCTAACAGATACATAATAGTCTCCTACACCTATCTCCTGCATTAGCTTCTGACAGAAAATAGTCTCCTACACCTATCTCCGGTGAAACTGTAGGATTAGAAAATCCTAACAGATCTACGTCACAGTGTCACTAACATTCATGGACCATGAACCGTTCACACTGGAGATTGTTTGATGTTGCATTTCTGCTGAAATGTGAACAACCACATCTGAATTGAGCACCAGGACCTACAGTGTGACCCAAGCCTTAATGTCAGGAAACAAGACTCCAGATCCTGGCATCTGAAACTCAAGTCTGATCTGGCTCCCTTCGAGTTCCTGAAACAGGTACACTGGAGACCTCCCCACCCCCACCCCCCAGAGTACAACTTACAAGGCATTCATTCCTGTTAGAGACCACTGCAGACGTGTTTATTAGATGGGTGAATAAAAAATATAAAGGTGACCTTTAACTTCTTACACTCTGTAACATAAAATGTGCTACTACTAGTTCATCTGTTGTCTCTGTGTGTGTGCGTGTGTGTGTGTGTGTGTGTGTGTGTGTGTGTGTGTGTGTGTGTGTGTGTGTGTGTGTGTGTGTGTGTGTGTGTGTGTGTGTGTGTGTGCTTTGTCTTCTCCATCCCCAGTGAATCATCTCAGTTTATACTTCTTCCTGATCATCCATGATCATTTCTGATGAATGCTGAGTGACTAACCCTACCCCCCCCCCCCCCCCCCCCCCCCCGGTAGAAAACGCTTTGCATTTTGCAGAAAGTCACAATCATGGTTCTTTTTTCTAAATATTTCAAGAGATTATCGTAACAATAAAAAATGTATAACATGTGAAGGTCAGAGTACATTAATATAGCCACTGTTAAATAGATAGAAATGGGCAGCATGTTGCTTGTGGATAAAGAAGTCCTGCATGAGACATTTCCAGGTTTGCCCATTTGGCAGGAGTAGCTCTGGATAAGTAGGCTCAGTTGGAATGTTTGCTTTGTACAGTGCCTTGAGACGACACATTGGAAGATCTTCCAAAAAAGGAAAATCCTGTATTTTACACTAATTTAGAAAATGTTGCAGAGCATAAATGATGTGAGGGAATAATCCACAAACAAGGCATCCGATGTCATGTAAGATTATAAACCAATAGGCTGTAGCACCCGGCACCATCTCTGACTGGTTCTAACCTCATACTAACAGGAGAGTCCAACTCGTCCCAGTTATCCTGCTGCAGGTGAGCTTCCAGGCGCCTCTGTTCTTTCCTTAGCTGCCGACGCAGCGCTGACAGCTCACTGAAAATGTCCCTCTGGTCTCCTGAAACACACATAATCAAGCTGTGATTAGTGAGCTTAAATCAGCTCATACAAATGACCAAAACAGCAAAAATTAAGATAGACTGAGCCCAGAAGACAAACTCAGGTGTAAAATCTGGAAGGTTTTACAGTACCTGCAGCTCTGAGCTGGTTCCTGCAAGCAGGGACGGGAGGAGACTGACGGCCGGACAAACAGCACTCCTTAAAAACCAAGAAGCCCAAGAGAAATAAAAGCACATTATTTTATTCTTCAATTATTTTAACCATTAAAAGTCAGTCTGCATGTTTGTGAAGTTGTCTCATCAAAAGATTTCACAAAAATGATCTCTAATTAACCAAATGGTTTCATCCCTGTTATTACACACATCAGCACTGCTGTTTATAAATATGTAACGTCCTCTTTTAAATGAAATAAATGGAATGGAAATGGAGTAGTGGATGAAGCGGTGCTGGGTGATGTTGTTTATACAGACCAGATGCCTCATTTATCACAACTTTTCCTATACTGCTTCCTACAAATTACATTTATGATCTATGAAACGTGCGGCGGGCTCTCGTACGCACTTCTCCGCAATCGTCTGATGATAAATCCCACCTGTGCGTATCCAGGAGCTTGTGTCAGTTCACCATCATTTACATACAGAAACACCCTCAAGTAACCATATTTGGTCAGGCTACATCCTCAGCTCGTGAGGGGATTCCCTGGGTTTTTTTCCCCCAGAAAAAAATAAGAAAAGCTTTATTGACAGTGAGATCGAGACACTGGCTGCTGAAGCGCCAAACAATCAAACAAATAGCAGAGTTTATAAATGCTGTCGGGACAAAGGAGAGGTTCCCGTCAGGAATAAATCAAAAATGAATCTGGTAATTCATAGAGTAACGGGTTCTCGTTTACATCTGAGTCGTCGTTCTGGTTGGAGTTTCATTTGGAAATGTTGTCTGAGAGCGCAGCCTCAGCCTCTTCTGAGCTGTCTGTCGGGCTGGTTGCCATGGCAACATGGTGTGTATGACCAGGGAGCAGAGGAGGTTCTGGGGGTTTCTCTAGCTGTAAAATAAAATATGAACTGGAATCGGATTTGAATTTTTTACATTTATTACTGAACAGGAACTTCCAAATGACTGGACAAACAATTTGGAATGAACAATTTAAACTTTGAACTGTAATGCATTTATTCTTAAAAAAGTTTGAATCTTGGTATCTCTTTTTTAGCAGTTTTTAAGACTATTTCTTTTTGTAAACTTTCAAACGTTTTTATTTGATGTGGTAGGCCTTGAAGCAGTTTCTCTCCAGCTGCAGGCAGAGTCCTGCACACCTCACACCGCCATGGGGTGCTTCTCTTGCACACCGCGCACTGCTATACCAAAAACTTTTGTTTTAGCAAAAATAATTATTTATTGTAAAAAGATAAATAATGCTGGAATGAAGCTGAATCTTACAATTAGCAAATAGTTGAGGATTGTTCAAATCAAAAAATCAAAAAAAGACTGAACAAACATTCATACCTGTTGGATAAAAACTGATATTGTAATGTTATTAATGACTTGACTTGACCATCTGGTGTTTTTAAACCAAGTTTCATCCATTTTATTTTTACTCTGGTAACAGACAAGCTTTTGTAGTTCCTACAGGGAGGATTGAACTTGCCCCAGTACCAGGACTGGTGCTGGTCCCGTTATCAGTAGAACTCCCTTGAGAAAGTCCAGACAGTTTTGTTGTTTTAGAAATGCACCTGGAGTGTCTTCCTGCCTGAGAGTCTGTCAGGAATGTTGAGTGTGTGCGTTTATCTTTTTGTGTGTCAGCTTAAAAAATACTTTCGGAAGGCATCTGCCCGATGAGAGTGAACCGAGACCCGGTTTGGTGTGTATTCCTTTCCTCTCCACTTTGCAAAGTCTAAATTGATGGTTGATTATTGATTATTGGTTTTGATAAACTGATTACTGTAACCCTCTGCATGTTGAACGTTCCCTAAGGTAATCCTGGATTGAATATAAAATTACCCAACAATACCCAGGTTCACTGGATATCTGTCCTTCTTTGTGGTCACTGTCTTCAGATATAAGCCTTCTGGGACACCTAATGGATCGTGTTGATTTTCTTTGAGGCAGTTCCATAATTTCATGCTGGCTTTTTATGCTAATTAGCTTCCCCGTTCCGTTATCCGCTTTCACCGCGGCTCTGCACTCCGCTATGCTCCGTTTCAAACAGGCTGTACAGTAGGATTTCCCCTGGTAGCGATATTTTCCATAACTCTGATTGCTTCATGCTATAGATCGTTGGAAAGCTGCTTTTATGTACTTTTAGGAACCGTTGGAATTTATTGAATCTGATCAGCCATTCAAAAGTTATGAAACGGAGCATTTTGGATGACGAACTCAGCACGTCTCTGAATCTGTGTTGTGATTCGTTGTGCTCAAGACAGGGAATGCCGGTGGCTACCGTAATGTATTGTATATGCACGAAAAGCCCCATTTTTAATCTTTTCAGCACTTTGGGAATTTTTATGATATCTTGAACGGTTCAGGAATTATGGTAATGAGAAGTGCGCATGCCCAATCCCGTCGACGGCGACAGGTTGGTAATAAGAATATTGTGGCATTAACAGAGGGGTGCCGGCAGTTCGGGTTAGGGGGGCCCCCCAACACAAGGGGGCCCCAGGCGGCCGCCAACCTATGCCTAATGGTAAAATCGCCACTGGTCCCGAATCCCAGCGTAGCAGAAGGATTTCTTCCTCACAGAGAACGTGTTCCTCCAGAGAGCACGCTCAGTTAAATCCTCCAATAGGCAGCCTGAGGGTCTGAGCATGCGATGAAGGCCGAAAATGTAGAAAGTTTGCAAGTTTGAAAGTTTATGAGTTTTTTGTCATGGGACCGAAGAAATCAGCAGCTGACACAGAAACACCTGGGGCCAAGAGGAGCCATCCCCAGGACTCGCCTGAGGCCTCATCTCCCCATAAGAATGTGCTATATTTACTAGAATCCATAGATAAACTGCTTCTGGGATTTGAGGGGCGACTCCACCTGCTTGAGGTTCTTCACAAGGAATTCCAGAACTTTCGACAATCACTGGAATTCAGCCAGGAGCAGGTGAAGCGGCTCGCTGCTGAGAACGCGTCTCTGCGGGAATCGGTTTTCCTCCCTGACTGAAGGATTTGATCGGATCTCCCAGGACAATAAAGTTCTAAAGGAGACAGTTCTGGATCTCCAGGCACGCAGCAAGAGAGATAACCTGGTGTTCGCAGGCCTTCCAGAGCTGACCAGAGGAGAAGTGGAGGACTGCAAACAAACCATCAAGGACTTTCTCCACACCCACATGAAGATACCCGAGGAAACTGTTAAAAACATCACCTTTCATCGAGTACATCACCTTGGAGCCAGGAGAAAAGACAGCAGAAGACCTCGTCCCATAGTGGCAAAATTTGAGCACTTCAAGCATAAAGATCGTATTAAAAGCCACGGGAGAGCTTAAAGGGACTTTACGGAGTTTAGAATTTTTATGCTCGCGATCGCCCCCTCAGGCCAAAAGCGTAACGGCTTTCATCATTTTTTTCTCTGTACTCTCTGAGGGTTCCCAGCAGAGTTCTACAAAGAATTCTGGATCATTCTGGCTTCAACATTCTTCAGAATGGTGAGGGGAATCAAAGAGAGTGGCAGATTACAGCCAAACATGAATTCAGCCAATATTATGGGCCATTCCCATCTGTACCGGGTCGGCCCGGGCCGGGTAGCGTAGGTTGTTTACATATCTGGGTGGCCTGGTATTTTTCCGGGCCAACCAAGGCTCATTCTCAGCCCTCTTCTCGAGGGGGTCTGCTTCAGGCCGACCAGGGCCAACACACCCACTGCTGACAGCAAATTCACACCTTCCATTAGAGCAAGCCTCTGATTGGTGGGTAGAGTCAGCCCACATGGGCTTAAGGCAAGGATGTGTGGAATCAACCGGGCCAGGCTGGGGCCGACTGGGGCTACCCGGCCCGGGCCGACCCGGTACAGATGGGAATGGCCCATTAGTCTCTTGTTAAAACCACGCACAAAGCCTGTTAAAGCCCTGGCAAAAAGATTAGAGAAGCTAACCCCTTTCTTAATACACCCTGACTAAACTGGTTTCATTAAGGGTAGACAGTCGTCCACAAACTCACGTAGATTACTTAACTTGATAGACTACTCTTACAGTAGAAATATAGAAACTAGTATATTATCTCTAGATGCTGAAAAGGCTTTTGATAGAGTTAACTGGAAGTTCTTATTTGCAACTTTACATTAATTTGGTTTTGGGAACTTCTTCATAAACTGGCTACAAACATTATACAGTTCACCAACAGCACGTGTCAGGACGAATGACCAAATATCAGCTAGCTTCTGTCTTCAGAGGGGGACCAGGCAGGGATGCCCACTGCCCACCTCACTGTTTGCTATCTTTATCAAACCACAATCAGGCCAACAACAGATATTAAAGGCATAAAATGTAAGAACATAAAACATAAAATCAGTCTTTATGCAGATGATGTTTTACTCTTTCTCCAGAATTCTCAATCCTCTCTCTCATTCAATAGAACTGATAAACTCTTTTTCAACAGTTTCAGATTGCTCTATAAACTGGTTAAAATCCACAGTTCTACCAATTAATCTCTTTTGTCAATTTATTTAATACACAATTGGAGTAAGGGAATATCACATAACTGGAAATGAATGTCTCTCCCAAGTTGGCAGATCTAACCAAACTAAACTACATCCCACTTTTAAAGAAAGTGGAAGATGATCTTGCAAGATGGAAATCCTTACCAATATCACTCATGGGGAGGGTTGCTACAATTAAAATGATGGTCTTACCCAGAATAAATTACTTATTTTCAATTATCCCAAACAAGCATGGTGCAGCCTTGTTCTGTGTGCGCACACAGCGGTACAAGTGGTAATGCTGCTGGAATTAATAATTTTATCCTACTCAGCAGCCAACACATTTTCACAACCTAAGCGTCGAAAAATGATGCTGTGTGACCAAGCATTTGTTTCAAACACGTTGGGAGCCCACGCGCTGTTCCAGAGCATCGTTTTCCGACGCCCGCGGTAAAACGGAGATTTCAACGACATTTCACCTCTGACAATTTAACCATCCCCTCACCCCTATCCTAACCGTAACCCTGTATGTCGGTCTAAATTTTCAGTTAAGCATGTTTGAGAGGAACGATGAAACGCAAAGCAAAGCTTTGCATACGCAAGCTGGTTGAGGTTAGGATGGGGGTGAGGGGAAGGTTAAATAGCAAGAGGGTATATATATATATATATATATATATATATATATATATATATACCCTCTTGCTATTTAACCTTCCATAAATATGTGTATGTAGAGAGAGAGAGAGAGAGAGAGAGAGAGAGAGAGAGAGAGAGAGAGAGAGAGAGAGAGATTTTTACACAAACAAAAAACTGCTCTAAGCCACCACCATCTTCATCACATCAGAAAGAAACCATTGTACTGGCGCTCCAACCCCTGCAGCATGGTTTCTTTATTAGTTTTATTCTGTTGTTCTATGTGACTCACAGACAGAGGAGCTGCAGAGTGCTGGCTGGTAACACTGGGAGGTCTGGAAGGGCGCTGGTGCCACCCATGCTTCCTCTGCAGAGTGGGGATTGGAGGAGAGGGCTCTCTGTGAACCTAAAAACAAACAAAACTGTTAGCTTTTATTTGTTGCCACTTAAATTACAGAATTATTGAGGAGGAATCAAAAAAGCACACCAGTGAAGTAGAGATCTGAAGTAGATTTGCTTTTGGAGTCACGGCAGACAGAGATGTTCTTAGGTGATACTGAAACAATGTTGAACATACCTCCTCTACTCGTGTCTGCCTCTCTCTCTCATACTGTCTCGTTTTTAGCATGGTGCTTTCCTTCTCCTCAACCTCCTCCTCCTTCTTCTTCTTCTCTGCATCCATCCTCCTCTGTTCGGCCAGCCGAATCAGCTCCTCGTTCTTGGCCCTTTGCTGTGAGACGCGTTGGATCGTAAAGAAACCACATAGAGGGTAAAGCCAGGGCCACACTGTACTTTTTCAGCTGTAGCAAAGAACTGCTTCATGTCACACTGTGTGACTATAGAGAGGTCGCACACTGTATAGTCCAAGATTTTACTGAGTCAATCTGCACAATGTCTCGCTCTAGCAGCCCAATGCCATGAGCGCACGTGTCAAAAAGCACAGGTCAGTAAATGCCGACAGATACCCAAGACAACAACAATGGCGAGAGAAAAAAAGTGCCACCCTTACTCTATTATTAGACTCCAAACCAAACTCCAAAGAGGTGTTCCACATGTTTCAGTGTGTAGCCTCCGTTGTTGCTAATGTTGCTACTGCTACTTCTGTACACTTGTCAGTTGTTGTTTATTCTCTGGTTGTATTTTAATTGGTCATTTGCACAGGAGTCACAGGTTTTCAAGCACTGCTTGACAACTTTTGAAGTCTGACTTTGGTCGTGAGAGTGCTCATTAAACTGCCGCTGGGCCAGTCACAGTGGATGGCCACAGACATTCAAATCACCTTCACGTTCACCTTTTTTCCACCATTCTGTTCATGACACCATTCTTGTCTGGGACAACCGAAAAATGCACAGTGTAGCCTGGTCTTCAGGGAGAAAAACGATGTTTAAAATCCTCACATCCACCTCCTTTTGCTTCTTCTTCTCTTGCTCTTCTTCATACTCCCTCTGGATGCGCTGCCTCTGCTCCGAAAGCCTCTTCTCCTCCTTTTCCTCCTCCAGTCTGAGTCGGTCCCTCTCTACTGCTTTTTTACGCATTTTCTCTTCAATCTGTGAACATACACAGACTAGATTAACCCACCAGCAAGAACCATACAATTAAAGGCCATCTTCCACTTTAAACCCATCTAAGCATTTTTGGATAGCTTGACCTATATATGAAGTGTTTTTAATGTAATTATGACTGAGTTCAAATTATAAAGGCATGCTTTGGTGCCTTTTAGTGGGTTTCTCTAGCCTAGTGAACTAGACCAAATTCTTGCTTTGCAAAGAATGGTCTAGGCATGCTCCATTGGAACCTCCGCAGCCCCTACCAGGACTCTGGCTAGCCAATCACAGCTCTCTAGAGGGGTTTCAAACACATAAAGAGCTGTGATTGGTCCATAATGGTAGGCCAATCATAGTGCTCTATCTGCTTAGTGAACAAATCACAGAGCTTTATCCACTTTGTGGGCCAATCAGGGCACTCTATATGCCTGGTGGGTGGGATGATGCAACAGAGTGAAACAAGAGTATGTCACATTCATTGTCCAGTGGAATGCGGAGATCATTTGAAAGACAACGGTAGAACCCGCCCCACAACCGAGAGCCGTCAATGGAGCGTGGCCAAACTAAATAATACATTTATTTAGTCTGGCTTCCCAGGCTAGGGTTTCTCATGACCTGCTTGAAAAACAGCGCCTTCTGGTAAAAAAAACGGAAGTGATGTAGGAGGGAGAAATCATTCGCTTCATTAGTGGCTGTTTACACAGAGCTTTATCGGGAGACGTCGCCAGAATCGGAGGAAGAATTCAATTCAATTCAATTCAAATTCAATTCAAAGATACTTTATTAATCCCAGAGGGAAATTAAGAGATCAGACATACTTAGGCAAAGACACATAACAAGAATTGGTGACTGTGGTCATTCGCAACCCGAGTCGTGCTACCTTAATAGAGATCAGAGGGGTTTACATGACGATTGGGTCAGGTGGAAGAAAAAAAAAGGCACTTCACAGTTACCCTCCACAGGGAGGGCAACTTTGCTATGCAAAAAACACCTCAGACAGAAATGCAACAGACTTCAGACATTACACAACATAGGTGTCCACTAGGTGGGGTGGTAGGTTTTGAGACTCCCACACAGTCAGCTTTATGCCAACGCTGTGACAATAGTATCAGTCTCCACTGTTTTGCCCCTCCTATGTCACTATGTCAAGTGACAGAAACTTGCTAGCTTTTTGTTGAAGCTGACTTTTGCACAGCTAAAGACAAATAACATCTGAGAGTCATTCAAACACTGAAAAGTGTGATCAACTTTATTTTTTCACCAAATAGAAAGATGTTTATGATTTTAAAACAACTTAAAAGATGGACTTTAACTTTTGATGAAGGAAACTATACTTTTAACATTTTATTCCTACCATTTCAGTAGCAGAAAAACAGAAAGATAGCAGATTGGTAATCAGAACTTCAGAAGATTAAATTGGTACCTGCTGTTTGAGGTAAGCTTTGTACTTGTCCTGCTCTTGGAGCTGAAACTCATCAGGCTGGCTTGCAAAGATTTTACCTCGGGCAAACTGAGGGGCCTGGGCATGAGTAAAGCCTAGGAAAGAAGGAAACAAGAAAGTTTAGTAACGTTTGTACATTTGGGCTCCAGGAACGTGATTGCGTCGTCAAGTAAAAAAAAAAAATTAAATAAAAAAACCTGAAAATGGCCAGGGGTGAGGGGGCTGACTTAGGCCCCCAATGGGGTGAAGGGGCACCGCCCCTGTAGTGGGACAGGGGTAAAGCCCCCGGTAGCTGGAGCATTTTCACCAATCTTAAGTGGGGTTGGGAATCTAAAACCAGTTCTTGTTGAGAACCAGTTCCCATTGTTTAAATTCCTAGGAATCGTTTGCCACTTTTGCAAACGATTGCCCTCATCAATTCCAGTCGGCATGAATTATGTCACCGCACACGTTGCATAGCTTGATAGCGATGGCTCATCAAAATCGACAATAGAAGTTGTTTAAGCTTTTGGCCAAGAGCAGATTATCAGTGGTACCAGTGATAAGGACTTGGATCAATAGACAGAATCAACAATGCCATTGATATTGATAAAAACTTATCAGTTCCCACCCTTAATCTTAAATGTGTTTCTTGGCTCTATGGGGGATTTTTTTTATATCGTCTCCACTCTTTACTCACTGTAAGCTGCCATTTACCGTCAATATCTCCATTTACACATGCGCAGCGCTGATTTACTTTCGGTTTCCTCTATAGACGCCACCAGTTTAAACGTCATCAGGCATGCGCCTAGCAACTTGTACCTGTTTCTTCTATGAAGATGGTTTCTAGCAAACAGTCAGGGAACACGCAGTCTTGTTTTGAATCGATAGTGGGCAGTAAAGGGTAAAATTTCTGAGTAATTTTTGAGTGGGACATGAAAACTATCGAGGTGGGCCTCTATCATGAATAAGTTCACAGAGAAACCAGCCAATCAGAGGCGAGATGTCAGAATATGAGGAACTAAAACTGAGAAAGACTCCAAATCCTGCTGTTTTCTGCTCCCCCCTCCTCTAACTAACTTCTGGTTCCTGAAACAGGAGCACCAGAGCTTTTCCAACAGAGACCCGCTCACAAGGCATTCTAGGCAGATGAGACATAGAGAGACCACTGCAGATGTGTGGGGAAAAAAAGTCTACTTGGTCTTTCAATGCATAATGTTGGAATGTGACGCCTGAAGGTAAAGTACCAAAACCTCTCTGGAACCTTTTCACAATAAAGTACAGAACACTATCTACAAATACAATGTTAAAATAAAATCTGACTAAGTAACATGATGTGGAAGAAATAAAAAAATCCACTAATAATAATGGAAATAATGTGTATAATCTAACGGAACAATCCTGGGGGACTAAGTCATTTAAATGTAAAGCTGATTTATTTTCTGTGGTCTGTCACTTAGTGAGCAGCTGTGGTCAGCAGCAACACCAACAGATGATCAGACCTGCTGCATCAGAGTCACGACCTGGTGAAACATTAGAAACCAGGATGAACATCGGTCAGAATTACTACCTAAAACTAACTTCAGGGTGGTTTTGCTGTTCATGGTGATGATGGAGATGTTTCACAAACCAAAACTTTTCTTTTAAATCATTCTAAGGCGTTAACGTTAACCTGCTGCTCATCTGAAATGTTACATTCATAGTAGATGTCTGGAGAAAATATCCAGTCTGCCTAATAAAAACCTATTAGGTTTTAAGTGTAGAGTTAATCTGCATACTGAAATCACCTCTGTTGCTATTCAGTGGAGATTCCGAAAAATGACCAATCAGATTAACCTATGAAGCTTATACCATATATATATAAATATCCCGGATACTTATATATTGATCTAAGTTCATACATCAACCTGTTTGATCTAATTTTAATCCAAAGATTAATGTTTAATTTAGATAGCTAAAGTTATTTTAAATCAGAAACTAGGATCTTTGCTTTCAAATAACCAGAAATATTATACCTTTTCTGTGTTTCGTTTCAATAAAGACGCAAGTTTAAAAATGAAGAAATTTATTACTAACAAATTTAAACTGAAAGATTTGAAACGACAATCATAAACGATAATTCAAGGATGAAAATTTAATGACAATTTTTAACAGCTTTGATATTAAACTTGTTTTAAAAGCAAGCCTGTGCCTGAATGGAAGCTAAATGAAAAATACGAGTTTGGATGCGTGGATGAATTTATGAGAAGGTTTCTTTCACAGAGAGCAGAAGCATTCTGGATGGAATTGATGTTTTGCGGCTAACTGAGTTATTTAGAGAGAAAACAGCATCAGACGCAATCTGTCGAAGTCTACCTCACCCATATAGAAGACCCTCCTTCGGATCCGAAGTGTCCAGGTGGAGATGGTTTCCTCCAGGCACGAGGTTGGTAGAAGAACCTCTATGCGACCAAATCAGTCCTGAGATGTCTCCTTGGGTCACTCGACTGGTGGAACAATTTGCGTCTCAAGATCCGTAACTCTGAAGGAGTTTTTCGTCTTTTAACTTAACTCAGAAATCAATGACTCTGGGTAGAGTCTTCGTTAGCTGGTTACAGTTTGTTTATTCTTTAGCTATTCTTGTCAGCGTGACTGGAACAGCAGGTGGAGGTTTCAGGGACGGCCATTCCCTTTTCCTCCGTGGTGTTGGTTCAAGAACTGGTTCTGAAGCTGGTGATGGTTAGTTTTACCAAGCTCCCAGGACCTCCCACGCTCTCCGGAAGAAAGCTTTGATCATGCGTCGAAACATGTGTTGCAGTTATTGTTTATCTGGACTCTGTGTTAGCTGGATAAGGTGAACTGACCTTCTGATATGCTGAACACATCTTTTACTGTCATCATAATCATTATTATAATAATAATTATTATTATACCCAAAACATAAATTCATTTCACGTAATTAAAATACCTTTATACTGAACCAAGTGATCATTTATGAGAGTATGTTAAACAGTAATAAAATCAATGAGTTTTTTAATTATTATCTAATTATTATCGTCGTGACTTGAAGTGTCCTTCTCCTGGGATGGAACAGCAGCAGATATGGTGATATGATCTTGAGACATTGTGGCTCCTTGGGTTAATCTGTGGATTTAAAAGTACTGTTTGACCCAGCTTGACCCAGCTGAGTAGATGTGACCTTTGCCACAAATTAGAGAACCTTCATCACGTTACATAAGGATTTGAGATTTCTTAAACCTAACTCCTACTTCTGCAGTTGTTCATATATAAAAATAAATACATTAGTAACAAACAGCTGTTGACACCTTTAAGTTCAATGATAACGAGTAAGGATATTTAGACCAGGATCAATTATATTGTTGCCATCTAAAAAGGAGTTAGGCTACAGAAAGGTGTGATTGTTGATCAAAAGGTAAAATGGCCGACCACACAGACAGGACATGCTTCTGCTCACAGATTGATGCCATGAATAACCAGGTGCTTCATTAACTTGTTGGTATTTCCATACCATAGGTAGTCTGGTAGCAGCCTTTAGGTTAGGTTAGGTAAGAACTTACAGCGAAGCCTGCAGCCTTTATCTGTGGAACAGTCAGCTAGACAACCGCAGGGCTGCTGCGTAAAGTGTTGTATCTAAAGAGGCTGAAGACAGATTTTCTTAGCTTGCCCTTTAATTGGTCTTTTTCATCGATTATAGTTCATATGGTGTAATAAATGCTTTATTATTTTAAAATATTGTAATATTTCACATCTGCTGTAATGGTTAAGGGTGTCACTGATTAAGATAAAAACGTGTAAAGAATGGTTACCAGGGATCCGCTGACTGGCGTCATGTTTCCTCCTCTCTGGAACAGAATCAGAACCTCTCTCAGTGGGGTCCAGCTTCTCTGATTGGTGAGCCATTTTGGCAGCCATGGCTCTCCTCTGCCATGCCTCTGGGTTGATAAAAACCTCCTCATTCTGTTTGTGCATCTGATTCAGGTCAGCTGGGCCACGAAAAGCTAAAGTTAGAATTATAAAAGATATGTACAATGCACTGTACAGTGTTTGTAATGAAAACCACCTATGAGATTCCCCGTACTGTCCCTGAGAGGGGCACCACCTCCACCTCTGCCCCAGGGCTGGTGGTTCTTCATGTCAGCTTGTAGCTGGGCCTCATGGCGTTCCTTCTCCTCCCTCTCCATACGCCGGCGTTCTTGCTGCTCTTCAATCTGCATTAACATATATAGTGTGTGTCAGTGAATGCCTTTGTGTGTGTGTGTGTGTGTGTGTGTGTGTGTGTGTGTGTGTGTGTGTGTGCGTGTTTGTGTATGTGCGCACGTGTTTGTGTATGTGCGTGCATGCCTGCATGTGCGTGTTTGTGTATGTGCGTGCATGCCTGCATGTGTGTGTGTGTGTGTTTGTATTAGGGATGGGTGACATCTTGAGATTTAAAAAAATTAATATAATTTCAAACAAGAAACAAAATGACTCAGCAACATTTGTATCGATATAAATGTACAACCAGTGTATTTCTAGTTAGCTGGTGCAGCTATTGCTAGCTGCTAGCTTGCTCCATCTCTAAGCAATCATTCAATCAAACTTTGTATAGCACTTTTCATACAAAAGAAAATGCAGCTCAAAGTGCTTAACAGATTAAAATGACCCCATATAACCCATATTCCCATCCCTTCCCCACAAATATAAAAACAATTGTGACAGTTACAACCCTCATCCCACAACCCATTTTCCAAGCACACGCACAGGGTTTGTAAGTAAAAGCAGTTCCGAAAGATAAGAAGGCCCAAGACCATTAAGACACTTAAAAACCATTAAGAGAACCCCATTACATGTATTCTCACATGTCTGTTCAATCAGAAAACCTCTGAGTTCTGCCCTAAACTTTCAATTTGACTAGGTGGCTTTTAATTAGTGATTAACTGTGTCCAAATCCGCTGAAAGATCTAGTAGTAGCAGCAGTACACAGGACCCCGAATCAGATGCAGTCAGAATATCATTCAGCACACAAATCAGAGCTGACTCAGTAGTGTGGTGGGGTCTGAAAGCCGATTGAAACACGCCCAACAGTGAATTTGTCTGCATGTAGGTTATAATTTGTAAGTAAACAGTTTTCTCCAGAAACTTTGACAACAAAGTAACTTTTGGAATTGGGCGTAAGTTATCATAGTTTGAAGGATCCAGGCCAGGTTTCTTTAAAATCTGCTGCACAACCGTGTTTTTTAAAGACAATAGGATACACACACGTGAAAAGACTGGTGTTCACAATGTTTAAAATGACTGGATCCAGGACAGACAAGATCACGTACCAACTTCGGCGGTATAGGGGGTCCTCAGGAGAACCTGCTGGCTTCACCGATCTAATCAGTTTGCCATGGTCATGGAGGTGAACAGCAGTAAAACTGGAGTAGGTGGGTAGAGATGGTGATTCCGTCATGCAAAATTGTTCCAGAGGGAGAAGTCTATGCCTAATGTTGTCAATCTTATGGAGGAAATAGCCCTGGGGCTCATTACACAGAGAGATAGAAGGGGTTGGACTGGAAGAAGAAGAAGAAGAAGAAGAAGAAGAAGAAGAAGAAGAAGAAGAAGAAGAAGAAGAAGAAGAAGAAGAAGAAGAAGAAGAAGAAGAAGAAGAAGAAGAAGAAGAAGAAGAAGAAGAAGAAGAAGAAGAAGAAGAAGAAGAAGAAGAAGAAGAAGAAGAAGAAGAAGAAGAAGAAGAAGAAGAAGAAGAAGAAGAAGAAGAAGAAGAAGAAGAAGAAGAAGAAGAAGAAGAAGAAGAAGAAGAAGAAGAAGAAGAAGAAGAAGAAGAAGAAGAAGAAGAAGAAGAAGAAGAAGAAGAAGAAGAAGAAGAAGAAGAAGAAGAAGAAGAAGAAGAAGAAGAAGAAGAAGAAGAAGAAGAAGAAGAAGAAGAAGAAGAAGAAGAAGAAGAAGAAGAAGAAGAAGAAGAAGAAGAAGAAGAAGAAGAAGAAGAAGAAGAAGAAGAAGAAGAAGAAGAAAATATCATTTCTATAGCGCCTCTCAAGATAAAAAATCACGAGGCACTTCACAAAAACAAAAAATTTAAAAATATAAAAAAGCATTTAGAAAATGTTTAAAAATATATTTAAAATGAGCAAAAATAGACAATTGTGATTAAAAAAATGTTAAAGAGAGAGAGTGAACAGGAAAGAGATAAATCAGTGGATCCTGAGGAAGGTGGAATAGGTGGGGAGAGCAGAATAAAGAGAGAGTGGTGAAGAAGGCCATACAAAAGCCACTTTGAACAAGTGAGTCTTCAGCTGCTGATGTAGCTAACAAAAGTATGGAGTTTATGGTCCCATTCAGTTTGGCCTGATCCCCTCTTTGCTGCACATAGTATCAGAAAAGTATTTGTTTCTTGCAGATCTAACCACTCTCTGATATCTAGAAAGCAACTCAATAAAGAGCCATTGCAATATAGTCAACCTTTTTCCACCGTCGCTCCAATACCCTGCACTCGTACGCATGTTCCTCTGCAACCGTCTGATCCCACCTGTGCATGCCCAGGTGCTCATGTCTATTCAGTCATTTACATACAGAAATGCGCTCAATTAACCATATTTGGTCACACCACACTAGGGCTGGGCGATATGACGATTTTAGACCGTTTTACGATCTACACATCTGACGGTCTGTCATTTTTGAGAGACCTTTTTATCACGATTCACAGCTCTGCTGTTGAAATTCTGCCTCTGAATGAAAAGGGAACTTACCCCAGGCGAATGACACGCCTTTGTTTGACCCTTAACCAATCAGAGTCACGGTAATATATTAGTGCCCCGCTTGTTTTCACCTGTGTGTGAACAAGCATGGCTTCGGCCGCGGCTGAGAGCGACAGCGAGGTTTTCGTTCCGAAGAGGAACGCCTCGTCCATTATATGGAACTGGTTTGGTTTTTCACCAGAGGACAAAGAGCAGCGAAACATCATTTACAAGGAGAGCGTCAAGGCAAGTGATGGCAACACCACAAACTTGTTTAATCACTTGAAAAGAAGGCATCCCAAACAATACAAAGAGAGCCAGCTGGCAGCTAAAGCTAAAAAGCCTGTGGCTGCAGCGGCTAGTGCTTCTTCCAGGCAGCAAACGCCAACAGAAACACTCACAAAACTCACTCCTTACGACAGAGACAGCAGACGATGGAACAGCGTGACAGATGCAGTGACGTACCACTTGGTTAAAGATTTGTGTCCCGTGCGACCAGTAGGAGTGGGATTTAAGAAAATGATAAAAACATTGGATCCACGCTACGAGTTTTCCAGCCGCAAGTATTTTTTCGAACGCCGCCATTCCACGCATGTACGCTGAAAGCAAAGTGAGAGTTGCAGAAAATATTCAGAATGCGCAGTTTTTTGCTACCACAAGCGATCTCTGGTCCAGCCGCACATCAGAGCCGTATTTGAGCTTAACTATCCACTACATGAGCAACTGGGAGCTACATAGTATTTTGAACAAGTTAATGTTTGCACAATACGTTTGCAATTGACATGTTTGCACTTTAAATATGTTTACGATATTAATTTATGTTAAGTTACTTGAAAAACAAGAAAAACTGATTTTTGTAATTGTTTCTCTCAGGGCTTTTATCATCTCTGGTGTGAGTTTAAAATATAAGTGTGTTAGCACTGTGCTGATTATCCCTAATATGAATAAATGTTTATTTATTCAATGTTTCTCTTCTTTAATACGCAATTGAAGTTATGCTATTCATGGATAAAAAATCGTGATAAAATTGAAATCGTGATAAAATATTGGAAAAATTGTGATATTCTATTTTTGCCATATCGCCCAGCCCTACACCACACCCCTTACTGTGAGTATACAAAATATATATACAGCCTAGATGCTCTGTTACGCAATGTCACGAATGCAGAACTGTCAAGTAGACATGCGGATGGAAAAAAGTGCAGGGGACAAAAATTAACTGTGGAAAAAATGGGGGGATCATGTCTTGTAATCATACTATGATCAATCAATCAAAAATCAAGATATGACAGATGGACATTAATCATGATATTTTTATTTATTTATTTTTTGTCCTTTCCTGAGGAATAATTTAATCCCAGAAAAGTGTCATTGACACTGCTCTCATCTAGGACTCTCTTAATCTTGATTCACTGTTCTTTGTCCATGTCTTCTGCAGTGGAATAACAGTGTCTGAGTTGTGAGACGTACGATATGGAGATCTTCTCCAGTATCCTCGGTGACCACCTGGAAGTTTAGTGGCCTCTCCTAGTACATGATTCGATATGGATCCTTCCAACGTGGTGCAAGTTTGGCAGAGTAGGAATCGACTGCCCTGGATTTCGGATCGATTTAGAGCCAGACCTGATCCTTTTCTTTGAACTCCACTTCTTTTCTTTTTCCATCAATTTTTCTTTTTTATTGTCGTGCATTTTCCAGGTTGTTAGCAACTATCTGTCTGAGATCCGAGAGTTGCCTTGCCGTTTGATATGCATGAGAATCTGAGTCACAGAGTCATGTAGATGTAGCTCACCATCTAGGGGCCCTTTTAAGGTAAGTCCAAGGTTGAGTTCTGCCGGAGTGACTTTTGATGATTCATGTATTGCTGAGTTCTGGGCAAATCGAAACTCTGCCAAGTATTTGTCCCATGTCTTATGTTTTCCCTCCAGATTTGACGCAATCATGGCTATGGTTTTGCGATTTACATGCTCACTCAGGTTGGTATGTGGATGGTAGAGTGATGTCCTTTATAGTTGCAGATTCAATTGTTGGCAGGTGTCCTTGAACAAAGAAGAGTCAAAGGGTTGTCGTGGTAATGGCAGAGTAGTTGTTGACGAAAAACTGCTGGGACCTAGATTTGATGAAGAGTTCTATGAGGTAATTGAGTTATTCTATACACCTTGTCCTCAATGATGGTGTATGTGGTGGTGAGACACTCCTTAACATCCCGTCTCCAAGATCCTGGTGTACAGGTTTTGGACATCCTAATCGGTCTGTTGAGCTTTCCATATTTCCTCGTCAGTTATATTTAGGTGGGGTGAAGTATCCTTCGTGGAACGCATTACTACCGCCAGGCTGGGTGTTTGTTGCAGCTCCAGTGGTGCTCTGGATAGAACATCAGGGACTGTGTTGTACTTCCCTTTGCTGTACTCCACTGTAAACATGAATTCTTAAAGGCGCAACACCCAACGGATCAACTTGATGCTGGGTTTACTACTGCCCCTGTGACCCGACTC